TCGTCCAACACACCAAAAGATACACACATCCAATGATACCCCAGGCCCAACAACACCATAATACATCTAACTAAACTCACTTCGATCATGCATTCAAATAAAGATACAAAAGATCGGTTAACTTGATTGGTTTGTACATGTTGGACATATATATCATTTTAGTTTAGTTCTTGTTTTATTTTCTTTCTTTTCAGTTTTTTGCTTATAATCCTGGGAAATGTTCTTCGCCACAGATGATATATAATCATTGCCATTATATCAGATCAGTCGCAGGGTGGTGTGTCCGTGAGAATTTCAAGTATGAGTACGAGCGATACTTATAATAGGGAGTAGTCTGGCTCGCCACCACGGTTGTTTATGCTACTTAGATTATCTTTGGGTTCTTGAAGGCCGGTTTTTTCTGAAGCTCGGTATAAGAGGTGCACGTGTCCTTACTACCGATGGATTCCAGATATACAGTTCGACTGCTCGATTCATTTCTATCGGTCGCTCGGCTCTTCTGTACTAGTCATCGGTATCGACAAGGTCTATGACTTGGTCTCTACTAGTATATGTATGATAGATTATGTATGGTTTCTCTACTGGGACAAAACGGAAATTGTGTATGGGGGACATCATCTATGGACATGTCGATTTCGGCCGACGTTGAGTTCCACCATGATGATAACTCATTAATCTGCGTTGTAAAGCCAGCATCTTTGGGAAGAACAGTTTATAATACACCGCTACTCTACGCTTCAAAAGGTGTCTATGGTGCAGTGCAGGATATTTTCATGTAGAAACCAACGCTATCATCGGAACAACAGAGTATAATTCATAGTCTGGTATAGCTATATTTCATGTCTACACGAGCATAGCACTGTAAGATGAATCTCCAATCGAATGAACGACATCCAAAAACCATAAACGCATTCCAAATGGGGACACCTGTACAAAATGGTATCAAGTCTGTTCCTTGCTCCCCGATCAATCAATCCCTTTCCCAATGTTACAATCGCCAAGCACAAGAACAACAAAGATGAGGAGAGAAAAAAGAATAAATAAAAGAAAAATAGCAAAGAAAGTAAGCACGCATGCAAACCAAGGTCGAGAAACGCCGGCCTGTTTTATCGCAAGATCCTGGTCCCTGTACAATCTCCAAATGAAGTGGGTAATAATCACGAGCCCATGGAGGGTGGGCGGAGAGAGTCGCTCACTATCCACTTCCAGCGGGCTGAAGGCGAAGAGAAAAATAAATATAGAGTGAAAAGGGTTATCAAAGAAGTGAAGAGAAGAGTTGTCGTTTCATCAATTAAATCGACGACCCTGAGAGCGATTAGCTGCCCATACCATTCTGCATCATGTTCTGTTGTTGCTGCTGCTGCATCACCTGAGCCTGTACGGCCGCAACTTGGTTGGCGCGTTGTTGCTGAGCAGCTTCACGTTCTCGTCGAATGATTTCTTGGACCCAAAGTTTGGCATTTCTTTCAAGCCCGGCATGGTATTGCTGCGCTATTGTTGGTGGGTATTGATTGGGCGGGCCGTACTGCCCCATCAAGCGACTGGCCATTTCCTGTCGCAATCTTAACAGGCGTTGTTGATAGAGCTGATTGTATCGCTGTGCCATAGCTCCCTGCATGTTGGTCCCCTGGAGGTTCTGTGGGAGCTGACCACCATTTGCTTGCGCAGCTGCCATAAGTAACTGCTGCTGTTGCGGGTTCATCTGAGAACCACCCTGGTGCATCTGGCCTTGCTGGCCTTGCGATTGAGGACCTTGCCCATGCTGTTGTTGTTGCGCCATTTGCATTTGCGCGAACTGTGCCCGCATAAGTTGCTGTTGGTAAATCTGAGGATTCGGGATCTTCTGTTGCTGTTGCTGGTGGTTCTGCTGCTGAGCCTGCAGCATCTGTTGCTGATGCGATTGAATATTTTGCTGTGCGTGCGCGTTGGCCTGGAATTGAGCAAATTGCTGTGGCGTAAGTTGGCCATGTCCGAGGTGCCCTTGTTGTGCAAGCATTTGTTGTCTCTGCTGCAACAGCATCTGCTGCTGTTGAGGCGTAAGGCCCATGCCACCTGTCATTTGTGGAGTTCCCATCATAGCTTGGCCCATCACCGGCGTCGGTGCCACTGTCGAGCGGCCGGGACTGGCGTGACTCATTCGCTGTGTAGGTGTTACGTTGCGCATGATTGGTGTAGCATGGGACATAGCAGGTGTCCCTTGAGTCATCTGCGGGGTCCCATGTCGACTCTGTCCTTGCTGGCTCCTTGAAGGAGCCATTGGGTGGCCCATAACATTGGGGTGGGCATGCTGCAGCGCAGAAGGGGGCCGTGGAGGGCTGCCAGCGCCCTGCATGGAAGATGTCATACTCATTGGCACACCCCCCTGTGCTCCCATGGAATTGCCAGGCAAAGGTGATGAGGTATTGTGCGGCGTCTGGTTGCGAGCAACTGGAGAGGACTGTGGCGCTTGGCTGACCCCATTTGCTTGAGGCATAACATGGCGACCCTGTTGCTGTGCAGCAAGCTGTGCCTGTACTTGTTGCTGGGCAGCGAGATGCTGTCTCCGAGAGTCCTCTTTCGCTTGCTCCTCTGCCTGCCGTTGCTCCAGGGCACGTCGTCTTTCTCTTTCCTGTTCTTGCTGCTGCCGCTTGGCCAATTCTTGCTTGAGCTTGATTTCGTGCTCCCGTTTCGCTTTCTCTTCATGCTGCATGCGAATGTTTTCCAGAGTCTTAAACCGGGAGAAACGAGGCTCGAAAGGTGCACCGCCGCTTGTATCATCAACGACGGTGGATTTAGGACCTCCTGCGCCTCCAGAGGAGGTTGGCTCGAGCCGTTCATCCATGATAAGCATGAATCGCTCCTCCTCAGCTGCCAGCGCTTCGTCAGCAGCAAGTTCCGCCACTGTCCGCTTCCTTCGTTTCGGAGATGGGGGCGGATTATTATGGAGAGGGCTCTCCATGAATTTCAGTAGATCTTGAACAGCGTCCAAGCTCTGCACAGGCTCTAAGAAGAGTGGTGGTGCTAAAGCCCTCGTTAGCTTAGATTCGCACTCTGGAAGATTCTGCGGTTCGACAAGCATCTTCTGTCTTTTTGCAACAGACCCACGCTCTGGTGGGTTAGATGAGCCGCCGGGAGACGGAGGCGCAGCAGATGAAGCCGCTTGAGTACGTGACGCAGAACTCGTGGCTCCCTGCTTTGCAGCCTTTGGATCAGGTGTAGTAGAAAGCAAAGTTAACTCTGCTTGTAATGAGCGAGGGGTAGGATGAAGAACCGTTGTAAACACACGGGGTTTTGGAGGAGTCTGCTTGTGTTGAGAAGAGCTGGATTCACTCTTCTCGGGTTGTTCTTGGGAATCACTGGGTTGCTCTCCGCTGGCCTTAGTATCTGACTGGGTTTCGGGCTCCTTTGATGTTGGTTTATCAGACGTCAACTGGTTCTGTTTCGGGTAGGGTACATAGGCCGAAGGAGTAACATGTTCGTTATAGTTATGAATGGAGAATGGAGTATTGCTATCATTCGTCGATGGGGCAGTTGACTTTCTGGCTTGGGCTGACACGGACTTGTGATCAACCACACGGACAATGAGACAACCTATCAACACGGTTTAATGAAACGCGGCGCAAGTTTTATATTACGGTCTAATGCCTACCTTCGTAGAAACGAACGTTGGCCCGCAGCAGCTCCTCTATCATATCGTGGGGAACGGTCTCGGCACGAATATGTTCGATGATCACTTTCATTTCAGAATTATAGGGAAAGCTTCCATCTTGTTGCTCAAAGCGGAAATGGGTAGGATGAAGATGTAAAACGAGAGACGGGGGGCATTTGCCGTATTTCTTCAGTATATGAGGGGTGGATTTCACTGTAAGGGGCACAGCTGTCAGTACATAGGGGCGCCGCAGATAGAGCTTGCGGAAACTCACCATAAGGCTCAGGACACTTCTTGCCTAGCCGGCGCTCATTGTCTGTGGAAAGAGTCCTGGCCAATGGCTTCGCTAGCCGCGTTCCTTGGTCACCTGGCTTGTGCGCCTCTTTCTTAGGACGATTAATGGAGCTCTTGACGCCATTCGAATCAGCTGCACCATTGACCCCATTTGTGACCGCACCACTTGTCAAACCCGCAGGGCCTGGTTGATTGGAGCCTGGAAGGCGCTTGGAGGATGGTTGTGGGGACGAAGAGGGCTGTTGAGGCTTTACCCCATTGACCCCGGCTTGAACAAAAGGCGGGGGCGGCCGTTTCATCTTGGGCGGGTGTGAGGTGGGTTTGGAGATCGCCGTTGCCATATTGTCGGCGACAGGCATGCGACGCGATCACAGTAAGCGGCTTACGGGCGCGACGTCTCGGGATATGAGTCCGAAGATGACAGAGGGAAACCGTGCTCCGAGTATGATATAACCGGAGCGCGAGACATGTGGGGAGCGGAGGACGGGACCGGACGACAACGTATAGACCGGAGTCGACGCGGAACTTTGGACGGAGCCCGGAGCCGCTAGAACAGAGGAATACTAGTGTCCATCGAACAAGCACCTGCAAAGGAGGCAGGGGAGGTTCGGAGAGGCTGATCGGGTGACGAGATGGTGCTGCAGAGGGAGTTTGGTGATGCCAAGCCGCGGGCGACGTGAAGGAGGTCGGGATCATGTGACCACATGACCACTGCATCGGGTTAGGGTCATTGCTCTCATCATACCTCGAATCTCACCCTATATGTCGTTTGTGCTTGCTATTCTACGGTTTCACAATGAGATTGACTTATAAAGGCGCTTTCAGCCTTATTATTTGTGTGACTGGTACAAAGGGAAACGAAACACGGGGCCATGGTATTGGTATCCTCCAAGCATGTCCTTTTTGCATAGCTAGACTATATGCGCAGCAGATCCATTACCAAAGTAAGAAAAAAAAAATAGGTCGTAAAACTCAGGGGAATCAAAGCAAGGTCGTAAGGGTGATGAAAGGGAAATGACACATATGAACAAGTGAAATAAACATATCGACACAGCCACCCAAGAAAATGACTTGACATCTAGTCCAAGCCAGACACTCTTCGTCGCCAATCGTCTCCCGTACGGAGCACGTCGACGACATCAATGCGCTTGCCGATGCCAATCGTACCATCCTTCTCCCACCACTTCTCACCATTGTCGGCCACGGCAGATTCATCTTCACTGTCGACGAGGCCTCCTCGCTCGCCGATGACAACCACTACCTGTCTGACCCACCGGGTGATATTCTGTACCGGTTCCCCTTCCTTTCCAGTCAGGGACTCCTGGACGTAAACAATGTCAGGAGAAATGTGTCGCACGAGATGCACAAAGCCTGTAGAGGTGCTGAAAGGCATAATCATGCTCTCTTTCTCGGCAATTGCTTGCGCCTGAGTATACAGCGTTTTGAAGAGCGGAGTCTGGTCATCCTGGCGAGAGTCCGATGCAGTCAGGTCGCCGCTTGGTGGCTCACCGGGGGATAGGACTTCTTCAGGAGCGATGTTTGAATAGGACGAGGTGATGGACATGGCAGGATGGGATCCATTGCCCTTGTTAGGAGCGTGCTTCAAGCCCGGTGCGTAGATCATAACGAAGATTCGAGTATTATCGGGATCGATATGTTCCGGAAGATGGGAAAGGATAGACTGCCGCATTATCAGTAAGTGAAACTATGAAAGGGGGACACTATCACTTACAGCGTGATCAGAAGTGTACTCCTCTGGGTCCAAGCGCGATGTGTCCGATGAGACCACAATAGCTACCGTTTTCTTCTTTTTCGCGCCAGAGGACGTGCCAGCAGCGACTCCTGGGCCAGGAAGAGTTCCGCTCACGGTCGGTGTAGCGGGATCCGGTAGATCCCTGCGGCCTCTTGATTCTACCTCTTCAGACCACCTGGAATGATCTTCGAAGTCGCCCCGGTCTTCTTCCCGGATCGATGTAAGAGCGCCACCTACAAACGCGCCCGCAGCAGCCATACCAGCAGCCATCCGCTTGCTAGCACCATCTAAAATCTGCTGAGGGCTAGGAGTGCGTCGCAAGGCTCCCTGCATGCGAGCTACCATGCTAACATCATCTGTATCATGAATATCCGTCGCTGTTGACCTGGCATAGTCTCCGTGGTATCCGGGAGGAAGCTCGTCCCCACCGGGGCCAGGCGCGGGGAAGGCATCGTCACCTCGAGGGTCATTTGCATCGTTTTCTTCATCTTCAATGCGTTCACTCCAGATCCAGGCTGCGACACCAGCTGCTGCGACACCCACTGTTAATGCCAAAGGTACCCAGTATCCCAGAGCTGTCCGCCTCCCCGACGAGCTGAAGCCAGTACCCGCTCCAACCCGCCTCCGACGAGCATCCTGGGGGAAAGACATTGTAGTCGCTGAGGTCAATTGGAGCTAGCGCATACAAACAGGCTGATTGCGATAATTTAAATCACATCGCATGCCTTTTCTAGAAGATGGGGGGGTTGTGGGCTGGAAAGGACAAATGAAGGGCAGGAAAAGAGGAGCACTCGCATGGCTGGGGCAAGGCCTCGGGCCACCCGAGAAACATGTGGCTGGTGATAATCTTCCCCTGTTTACCGCGGGTGTTTGACCATTACGGCATCCGCCGGCAGGGAAACGTTTGCATGGTTTGCCTGTATCTATACATAGCATTGCTGAGTCACTCATCTCAATCAGCACGTGATGTCTCTTCTTTTCGATCGAAATCAAGACGGTGCCTAAAGACAAAGGAAAGGAGATGATCTAGCATCGGCCGTTCCGTATCTTGAGTTTCTGGTGTGCTTGGATGATGCGCCAAAATAAGTTTGGATCTATTGTCTGACATTTATACGAGCACCATCCGCGATGAATTGTCTCCATATACTGGCTTTTGTTCGCCCTCGATCCCCGCTACGATGATAATGCCACCAGTTGTTGATCGCACCCTGTCATCGCGAACAGGAAGCCTCATCGGTATTCAATTGCAAAGCCTGCAGTTGCCATCATGCAATGCCCCATGACTGTTTCTTCGACAGTTTCCAAGCCCTAATCAACATGAAGAACAGCATCTGTTGAATTACTGCCTTCCCGACTTCAACCGCGTTGAAGTCTGACTTCTTCCTTACGGCCAGATAGAGGCAAGAATAGTCACTCAGAACGTTCCTGGCACTTCTTTCATCTGGTGCGGTCACGGGCCGTCAATGGGCAGTGAAGAAAACAGTCGTCGGAGTGGACAGGCTGTATATTTCCAAATAAAAGGCAGGGAAGAGAGAGTCAAGGATAAGGTAACGAGTTTTCACTGCCCCTGCTCCTGTTGAGCAGGATGGAACACCTGCAATATTCACTCCATGGATGAGCCGGCTGGTCTTTGGTTTGGCCTTTCAAATCTGGGTTCTCTATGCATATGGATACACCAAAGAGCGAAAGAACAGAAGCGTTCCCTCATCTGCCACTCGTCTCTTCTAGGATTGCGCGCAGGCGTAGGTGATGCCGGGCTACAGAGACGCACATATTACGCCTATTGAGTTAAACAAATGGCTTGCATTAACAGCAAATCGAAATGCCAATAGAACTCTTATCTGGTGGGAGTAGCTAGACTGACAGGCAGGTTCTGAACGAGAGCTTTGACTGAGAAAACTTTCCACACCGAAAGAGCGTGGACGGAGAGGAAATGACAGCTTGACAGCAATGCCTTTGAGGAACAGATTGGTCTGAAGGCCGTGTGCACCACCAAATCTGGTGCTAACACATTCCACGATGAATCCTTTCCCAGGATCTTCGACGCTTAAAATTGTATCTTGTGAGATTTTAGACGTCAGTTCGTAGTCGATGGCCGCCGAGAAGGGTGATCTCACTATATCCCCAAATTTATCCTAGGTTCACACAATCACGCCTCCCCTTCCCCGTAGTTCTTCGCCCTTCTAGACTCCAATCTGTTGAGGGACCCGGCCGCGCGATATCGTGCTCCACACAGCCAGAAGATTGCATATCCCACTGGATTGTCCAGCACGGCTCAGTTACCAAAGCTGGCTGCCTTCTTGTCCAGGATACTACCGTGGAAGAAACGTGCGTCATCAAGGAGATCATGATAGGGCAGAGTGCCACATTGCCAATGCTGACCCGCTATGAAGTAAGGACAGTCATTGGCGGACGTTGCGGATTGACCGTCTGTCGTCTGAGTAAGATCAGATGAATTCGTTGAGGATAATGACCATGTTCTTGGAAAGATGGGTGCTGATTATTAGAAGTCTATCGTAGGGCTGGATAAGGATCTGTCACTGAGACTCAGACTTCTGATAGATCTCCTTTTCTACGCCAACGCCATCAGTTTGTGGTGAGCCACATACGCATCACGACCTATTTCAAGCTCGACAGATCTATGAAACGATCAAAGACTCCACCCAGAGATAAACCAAGTAAAATAAAATAGATAAATCAGGAATAAATGACATTCTCACCACAAAACCACTTAACCCTGGATGTTACCATTAAACTACTAATCTACAAACAACCGAAGCAATAAATTTATGTACCCCGAGTAAGTAACCCCCAACCCCACAAACAAAGAGCCAGAAACGAAGGGGAAAAAAACTCTCAAGAAAAAAAAATACCTTAAAAAATATAAAACCCACTACAATGACATCACAACCCCAACCGCATGTGAATATGCAACGACTATATCCACGATGTACACGTCAATTTCCATCCCCCTGCGCCTGCATAAATGCCAAGAGAAGTCACTTTCATGTGGACGTAGCTGCAAGCAGAACGCTGATGTACATGCGTCGCCACTCGGCAATGCTTCAAAGACAAGGTTAACCCCATAAATAAAAAGGGAAAAGTGAAAGAAAAGTAAAGGATAGAGAAAAGGGAGCGGTCTGCGGTCTAGACCAAGACAGCCCTCTCTCTCTCTCTCTCCCCCCCCCCCCCCCCTCACCATTAGTTTTGAGTAATATCCATATTGCCCGGGAAGACAAAGCCACCAGGAACACGGGGATCCAGTTGCGAGGTATCTCTGATAGGTTGTTTGCCTTTGGCGTTGCCGCAGGTTGCCTCGTCGGGGAAATTCAATTGGTCGGGGTTGTCCAGCTTGAGTATGCTGGGGTCGATGGTGACGGCTGGGTTTCGGGGGTTCGGGATGGCTGATCCCAGTGTTGGGGAGGAGAAGAGGATGTCAAGGTGTGTGTTGTCCTCTGGTGAATTATGGTTCTTGGATAAGTGTCTGGTCGGTTCGTTTGATAGGGAGAAGGAGGAAGGGTCAGTGTAGATATGGGTGAGGGGTGTGACATGCAGGTATGGTATATTTTCCGTCGGCAGGGTGTTGTTGTAGGTGAAGGAGTTGGATCTGGTGTGGTGATGGAGGTCTAACTCTTGAGAGGCCTCATTTGTGAGGATATCCCCGTCATATTCGGCTGAGAAGATTGGATGAAAGACACTGGGTGTGCGCGCATGATGGCTTGCCCTCTCATCCAGCGCCCGAAGGTGATTCTCAATGGAAGGTCCAGGCTCTCCGAGCGGGGACAAGGGATGGAGGATATGCTGAGCGTAATGATTCATAGCGATGGGGGGTCCATTGAGCGTCTCGCACGGACGCCGTGGAAGTAATGAACCGGGATTACCATTAACATTATGAACCGAGCTAGTAGTCTGAGCGTCCAGCGGCGGGTGAGTTGGGAGTCCCTGTGTATATGACGCGGTCCTCGGATGGCCCAAGCCAATCTCTGCCGAATCTCCAATTCCAAACGATGCCAATGTAGACTGCGTCGTTGGCATCGCTACACTACCACCATTAGACAAGCAACGAGATCCCCGTGCCACATGCGCGCCCCTCGTCTTCTGCCTATGCTCAACCCCACAGCCATCAGCCAACATGTCAAGCATACTAGACGACACATAGAAGAAATCGCTAGGCGGGCGATACCCCGTCATGGACCAATTGAGATCCGAGTAGTCCGCGCGATTAGAATGCTTCATCAGCGCAAAATAGATATCAAAGGCATAGCCCGGGTTCATGTGAAAATCCCGCTGACCCCGAGTACAAAGATATGACTGGACCTCCAAGCCGCGGACATACGGATCGTCCTTGGTGTACTTTGCCTTTGCGATGCCGGGCTGCATCCAGCGCTTGTGGTCGCCTCGAGCGTAAAACCGAGCCACCATATCCAGAAACCCGTCTTCGTTTGCCGAGACGCCGAGGATGTATTCCATGTTCTGGACAGTCATGAGCAGACGCTGCATTGTGCCCGATACGCCCCAGGATGGGTGTTTCTGGCGCTGTTGACATATCCAGCAGTCGGTGTCTATGAGCGCTGTGGTTGCGGTCTGTTCTTTGTGGTTTCTTGCCTCTTCGAATGCGCAGGTCATGTAGGAGACGATGAGGTGGGTGCAGGCGTGCCAGAATACGACCATTTGACACATTTTGAGTGTATGAGGAGGGCATGCGTTATATCGCTGTTTGGGGACTGGGGCGAGCTTGTGCCGGGCCTGGTTACCTCCACTGTGCAATTGATGCAAGACTTGGGATATATGATGATGGGTAGAGGCATTGGCAGATGAGTCTGGTGGCTACATGGACTGGCAAGGTGGGAGAGGCCATATTTGTTTTGTGTTACTGGATATCTCTAGGAGAGCAATTTGCTGGTTTTTGTATAGCTTTGGTGAATGGGAGTAGTGAATATTGGATCAGCGTCGTGTTGTGCGGCGCTTGTTTGGATCTGTTTAACATAGTGAATTCAGTGTTTGGCACTCTTTGCTGAAGAATAGCCACAGGCAATATATGGCATGTAGTAATATAGATAATCATGTTGGCTTAATTTAGAGATGTTATCGTCCTTCAATTGGAATCTGCTTTGATGTGAGGTCTATAGATTGTCCTGCCACAAGAGGTCTTATGGCTGAATGTACTAGGAACAGGTTCAGAAATACTTCGTTGGAGGCCTGAGGCAAGGGCTCCAAGATCTTTTATGCACTGAGGAACGGCTTCTAGAACACATACAGTACGCCATAGTACGACATTTTAACTATGATAACTATATCCACACAATTCCATATTGTCAGAGTATGCGTAGTGCAACATCATCTTTAAAAAATGGGTAATCATAATCATTCATGGGCACACTGAGAAACAACATCATAAACGAGACATTGGCTTAAGCTGGTAGCTCAATAAGTCAGTCTCCTGCTGTGGTGACATCGTCTTTACAGTCTAGATCCATCACGCATATAGATAGTACGTAGAATTCGATTCACACAATTATGTACTCCAAGTCAGTGTATACATACTACGGACCAGATACACTGGAGCTATGTACCACTATGATAAAGCGCAACCATATCTCTGAGAAGTACCATCTTTCTACTCGTTCCGTGGTAGGGCTTCGAATAGTGAGACATCCCACCCTCCACCCAACCCTATTTACCAATCAATGTACCATCCATACCAAGGAACGAACCTTAGTACACGCACACAGCGACTGATAATATCTAAAAAAGCTAATACAGACACCTCATAGGGTCTCCATCAGCGCAGGTGTAGGTACACGATTCGACCAACCGCGATGCAAGGAGCGAGTGCGGACCGGGATAACTTTCGTGATGGTGGGCCACTAGGTCTATAAATATCACCATTTGAGTCAGTTTCCACTGTTCGAAGTAGAATCAGAACTCCGATCGACTTTGCCGCATTTTTACTATCGGGAAATGAGAGTAGATAGGGTACTGTACCAAGCCTTGTATACTCTTCTTCTCGAATGTTCCAGAGTGAGCCAGTCTTGTTGTACGTTATTGCTATCGGTTTCAGTAATCGCAATGGAGTATATACGATATTACAGGTACTTAGAAGAGTGTAAGACACTCCATTCGCGATCCTAGTCTCGAACGAGCTGATGTTGACAGGATGAGAGGTATCCACTGCATGTCTCAAACCTCACTCAACACACGGAATGTAAGGTATGATACAGTAATGCAATGAGCGAGCTTTACGTATTGTCCAGACAAACACAAACACTGAGAAAGATAAGTGTATAGGTGAAATTACTACTTCGTTCGACCTATATATCTGGTACCTTGTCACTAGCGTCCACCGGTATCGATGCACCATGTACGTTGATAGCGCTAAGCCATCAGCAACTAAAGATTATCTCCGAGGCACACACCACACGCACACACATTTCCAGCAACCGTCCTCAAGCTAACAGTCTGCTGCGGGTCACACGGGTGGGTCATGACAGGGAAGGTTACTTCCAAGAAATATTCTGTCAGACTTCAATACAACTTTGCGATGATCAAAGTTTAGCCGGGAGTATTCTTGTTTTTGGTTTACTTTCACTTAGACATACCAGGGCGGTACTATCCGTAGGTGTAAGACTGATGGGTAGTTTATGTTGCCGATCTCCATGTAGTATTTGGGGAAGGTATTCCGTAGTATCTAGGTACCTACTATGTACTTGAAAAAATAATAGTAGTAAAAACGAAAGGAAAAGCTTTGGTGGATCTCAGCCAGCCAGGGCCAGCCCCTCATGTCAGAATATCAAAGAGCGTGTCCTTCTTCCTCACCGGCCGAAGCCCCGCTTAGTGACTACCCATTAAAGCGACATGCAGATTCCACTAATCGTGCTCGTGGAAACAAGTTTGCCAGTCAACATGACCATCTCGTCGGCTTTACACCAATAGTAAGATAATGTTGACGCCGGCAAAGAATATCGAGGGGAAAAAAAAAAAAAAAAAAAAAAAAAAAAAAAAAAAAAAAAAAAAAAAAAGAAAGAACTAGACTACTCAATACATATTACTCGTAGTGGAACCATTCGTTCAAATGAAGTGATCATATGACTCTTGGTATGCGGATAACCTCTGCATGGGAACGAGGACGACGCTGTGTGACCAGAGTAATGAATACTTCTACGGGCACAGTGATCTCCATGGATTCGCTAAATAGGGTACTCCTGGGTCAACATAGGTTGTACTGATGTTTCATGTTGGATAGTGTCTGCAATGCATAGTGAACTGTCCCGTAAGCTTGATGAGATGTAACCGGAGATATATAAAATGGCGGAAATACCGGCTGGGGCCGCAGGTGTTTGACTGCACATGCAAGCTGTACGTGGATGATGGAAGTATTTTACATAGGTCAATTATGTACCAGGTTTATAGCCACATGAAGTTGTTTAAATTGCACTGTTGTAAATCCCGGTCAACTGGATAAATTCCTAGTAGTAGTACAGAGTACTACTAGTACTAATTCTCAATAACCATAATCATGTGAGCAGATGCGGGGAAAACGTCCATTGTGCCTGAATACACACGTGAGTTCCTGGCAGAGGGCAATTGACTTTTCTGGGTTTATGGCTCCCAAATGTCAGGTACCTTTAAGGGGCCCGACTACTAGTAGTAGGTTGTCAAGAGAAAGTGTATGTACATACAGCCATGGTAGCACGTATGGCTCTTTTGGTCGAAGTTTGCATAATTAGTTAAGCGGAACATGCATAAAAGATATGTGCATTACGATATCGCTTACGAGTACAAGTACACTAGTCATCCAACGTTGACGATTTATGCTTGATATGGGGATTTTCACTATGGGAAATTGGAGGTTTTCTGTACTCCACACTTTCGGTTGTTCCCCAGATATACCTTGTAACTACGCGACCTTTTTGTTTGTAGGTCGGTCAGGATTAGTTATGATCATCCCTCGTTGGGACCCCGTTCTTAACGCCGCCCCTGAAACCGCGCCGTTCTTACCTGGAAGGGACTGGTGCAGACATGGATATGGACCATCCTCTTTTACACATGTCACTCTGACAGGATTCCGGGTTCCTGAATAAATTATCAAGAGGAACGTGCGCTTGCTCTTCCAATCACACACAGCTCGATTTTGGCCACGTAGGAGTTGTCATGTTGGAGCCCCGGATTATCATCATCCCAACCCTGCATTTGGTATGTGAAGCAAGTCGAAATCAGAGGGGTCAACGCATTTGTCATAAGAGGAACCACTTTTTAAGTAGTAGTTGAATTGCACCGCCGCATTGGACAAACTAAAGCCGTTCGAGGGGTTGAAAAGTTTGTTTCCTTTTCTTTATTTCTCCTCGTCTTCTGTGTTCCAGCGGTCGAAATTAACCCCTCATACTCCGTAGAGAAAGCTGGCAATGCGATAAGGAAAAAAAAAAGAAAAAACAGGAAAAAAAAAGAGAAGAAGAAGAAGAAACACAAAAAATTGAAAGGGAAGCTCAGGGTTTATTTAAACTCTCTGCCACCTCTTGAAGGTGTTTGAATAAATAAAATCTCCGGAGATGATATCAGAAATTATGGAGAATACTCCATAAACAATGAAACCCGGTCGCTCTTTTACGATAAAGGGAATGAAACGGAGCTCCTGCCAATTTGAAAGTGAGGATCCCTATCCCTGAAGGCCGAAGGAGCCCTTCCGTCCCTAGTAGATTATGCATTACCCTTCCATATCCACTTGGCTCCATTCTCATTTTTGCTCTCCATATGACTCCCGCAAATCAATGGAACCATGGTACATTGTCTATAGTTGAATTCCGGTGTGTCTCCGCACCGTATGATGCTTTCTCCATACTTCGCGCAGAAGTACTCCGTAGTCTCGAGACTAGCACCCACCAATGCGACCACTCCACGGAACTTGTCGTGTTCGGATTCTGTAGGAATGTCCATTGCCGTAGTTCCCCACTCTCCAAGGCAGGTGGAAGGTGACCATGGAACAGTTTGGAGAGATACCTTAGATATGGAATCCAAAGAACATTCCATAGAGACCATCTCCCCCGGTCACGAGGATTTAACGTAGATGACTGACTCCCAGGAATGTCGAGTTCCTTGGATCAGATAGAGATCCATGCTTCAGCTGAAGGTCCTGCACAATACCCCTCAATCCTTCTCTCACAGATAAGATTGCGGATGAAACAACCACTACGACAACTGTGCCGCGTCAGTTGGGAAATTCCCAACAAAGCGGAGCAGCGACTGCCTTATCTGGTTGAATGTAACTTCCACAATCTTGATAAGAGTTTTCTCTTTCTTGCACGAACGGCAGATTGTGGGGAAATGAGGTGCAGACGGTCGAATGAAATCTGAAACTCGATGGACGGAGGGTCCATGATATGTACCCGCCGCCGTCAAAGTTGAGTGACGCGGTTGGCGAGCGAAAGGCCGCGAGTCGAATGAAATGCTGGTTTGTGGTGTCGATCACGCGGGAACTCCTTACATTGATCTGCGCGAGAGACTACTTCCTTGAGCTAATTTTTCTTCTTTTTTGAATTTATTTCCTATTTTCGCTTTCATACAAATCGATGAGGGAGTGGTCGAGTATGGTGTATGTAACGCAGGATATAGGTCGGGTGTCCGGAACAATAACTACAGAGCAAGAACTGAAGGTGGCCTATTGTGAAATAGCCGACAGTCCACTTGATAACGATATTCTCTAATATGTTTGGTCCGATCTGTTGAAAGGGAAAAAGAAATACCAAAAAATAATCAAAAGAGTGGGTCACCGATTGTCCTCATGCATATCGGCTCAACCCAACCGAGATCACTGCTCCCATCCATACTGGAGTAAAATCTCTAACCTCTAACAGGTGAGCTATACGTGATTCAGGTCATGAATGATGTCTACACCGACAATGTCATGAAGGTATGAAGAGAGATGACACAAAGAGGACGCATCAACAAGAGTGATCTGAGAGTCAAAACAAAGTCCCGTGGCGTTTTTATTGAAGTTTCCATAGGTCCCCTCACTTCGTGATTCCAACACATTGGAAACCTTGGGAGTTTAATAATGTATAAGAATTTGCACGTAAGCGAGTATTTTCCACTTATTATCAGAGTCTCCACGGGTTGCTGCCAGTCTCTCGGTTCACCTCAAGGCAGCCAAGAATTGTATTGAACTCCGTACCAGAAAGTTAATTTACTAGGTCAATAGCCGCTTTCTATGTATTACGGTGGTATTCGGTATGAGGTTTATGTACATACATAGGTACTGAATACATACTTTTGTATAAATCATTCCCGAGGCTGGCCACCTCCTCTACAGTAGGGTATCATACCCGTGAAACGTGAAGAAATATCTAAGTATGTTGTATGTTCATATCTAGGGCAATGAACAGCCTTTGACTCTCAAGTAGATTTCCTGCTTCGGATCCCTACGTCCAAGAGGATTAATGCCCATGTAGTAATGGTCAGTAATGCGTCTTGCACTGCATGAGTAGGCTAGATCCTAATTTGGAGATTTTTGAGTGTACATTACGGAGTAGCCTCACTGACCGCTAACCAGACACGTCCAATAGAACGACGTTTCCTTCTATTTCACCAGGCCTTCTTTTTTTTTTTTTTTTTTTCCCTCTTCTGCCACTTGATACCCTGCCACCATGTATGTATAAACAATTTTACTACCCTGCGCATGATGCCTACATAACACCCTTGTGGATGGCTTGCGAATGTCTCGTTTCGACAATCGAAAGATGATGTGCGACCAGTTGATAGTGAGATGCCTGACATCACATACATACACTAGTTCATCCTGTACAGAAGCAGCTCCATCGGTTGCCTCGGAATTAGCTCAACTGCTAGGCTAACGACTTAATATCCATGGTACAAGACCGGAAGGGTAGGAGGCTGCGACTACGAGACGCGATAATGGTCAGTTCGCAAATTTGCTCGTACACAATGTGGGCTATCGATTAGGTTGGTGGAACAGAACTCCCTGATCCACGGAACCCCATAGCGGGAATCTCCCACGGTTGTGAGAATTACCAGGGTTATCCAAGAGCAGGTTAGAATTTTTTTTTTTTTTTTTTTTTCCTTCTCTAAAGGATTCGGGAGTCCGTTGTTGATTTTGCCTGAAGTGAAGGTGAATCATAAGATTGATGACTCAAAGTAGGTGACGAAAATCTTGAGGATCATTATGCGTCCACTATGCCTGTCTCAATCAACGATCTACTTATTTATTCCATCGGTCAGGGATGATGACATGCTCCAATGACATCAAGTTCGGCATATCGTTGACCAAATATTAGGAATTCCGTCGCTAGTACGAGAAGTTCTTCCATTAGGAGGTAAAGAAAGTTGATGTCAATGCTTCGAGGACCGCCTGGTTCTGGAGGAACGCTGTCTAAGTGTGTACGCTAATGGAGCAACGGACAACCTGAACTGTTTAGATTGGCATTGTAGCTATACTAGGCAGTCTTTAGTGGTAGCGACTAACTATCTCCAGGATGTTTCTCCGAACCTCCGGGGTTTGGGTCTCGGGGGGGTGGGGGAAAGCGACTCCATTCACCTGTGATGGCGTTACAGCTAAGAGTTTTAGCAACCGTGTGGTCGCAAATCAGCGTCCAATTTGCTCACCCGATCGCGCTTCACTTAGTTTACTAGAAATTAAATGGCCCCAGAGGTCGTGGCCTCATGCATCCAACACGTTCTCTCCTAACACTTTGTTACTCTCTCTCTTTTTTTTTTTTTTTTTTTTTTCCTTTGCCGCATTAGGACGGTAAAAATAAAATTACAAAACAGAGAGAAGAAAATCAACAGGGGACGCGGCTGATCGTGTATATTTGTTCCGTGTATGGAGTTACTCGGCTAGTGTCTTTTGCCTCAGGCATCGTGGGCGTGTACTTACGAAGAACATAATGTGGGCGTTAACCGTAACTACGATATTTATTTTCGTAAGCAGGACCGAAAAAGGGAGGAAAAATCGAATCTCTCTTATCCAGCGGTTTACCCCACAGATCAATGTTATATATCCATTCCCACGAGCAAATTGTACATATGATGTTTATATTAATATCGGTCTGGATTTCTTGACCGTGCTTCTCCCAATGGCAGCAATTTGTCCCCTCAGTGCATTCCACAGATTGAACGTTGTTGTCACGGCTAACGAGCAAGTTGGAGAACTAAACTTCAGGGGGTTTTGTTTCCCTGACCCGCCCGGGAGATGGTATTGGTGGTATTTTTGGCATACCTTACCTACCTTCTTGGTATGATTACCGGTACCTAGTAGGTAACTCTGTACGGAGGAAGTAACTCTGGTCAACGGGCCGGGAGAGACGGCAGATCCGAGTCATACTGACTACTATTTATGTAAGGTAGCAGTAGGCAACTCTGGCCGAACGGTTAAATAGTTACTGCTAGTATTCAGCTTGTACCAATCTTTCTGTACGGTACAGCCCCAGAGTTGTCTTACCCATGAATGAGTGGTTGGCTGATGAATTGTGAAGAGGAGATTCAGGAGAACTTAATATGATATTAATATACCAACAGTCGTTGATACCAGCTTCGGTACTAGCCAGAAAGGGTTTTAGTTCTACCTGTACAAGTGTACCAAATTTTTATTTTTTAGATTTTTATTTTTTCTTTTTAAATATAGTAAAGAGGAACAAGTGTGCACCTTCAGAGAAGTTTTGGCATGACTTGCAGCTGGATGCAATAATAGCAACAGGTGGAAATAGTAGGTCAAAACCGTTGCTCAATCCTCACTCAGAAAATTTTCTGTTGTCTTGAACAGCTATTTTCATTTTGCGTAGATTATCCACTGGGGTCGTTGAAGAAGTGTAAGTGTCTTCAGTATTTTTTTCTTTTTTTTTTTTCCTCCGTGAATTATTGTTGTTATTATTTTAAAAAAAAAAATTTTCCTTTCTCTATTGCGTTCTTTGGTTCCTTGCGGTACCTGAATTGTTTCTACTCGCGTTCTTTGGAAAGGGCCGGCCGTCAGTCAGTCTCCGCCGCCTGTCACGATTCCCCTAAAGTTGACTAGCATCCATTCCACACCATCCTCACCCTCCCCCATTATCTCCCTATTCCCTTCCTTTTCCATTCCACGCCTTTCAACCCCTCCTGCTCCTCTTCCTTTCTCTCTTTCTCCTCTTACTCTCGTCTTTCCATCTCATACTCATTAATTTCCTCCGATCCACTGAACGGCCCATCTTCTGCTTGAGTCAGAAGATTAGGTGCCCATTCTAAGGATCTGGTTTCTCCCCTTTCCTTTTTTTTTCTTTTCTTTTTTTGCCCTATTTACATTTTACTTCTTGTTCATTGTCGTTTGTTATCTTCATTTCCTCATATACTCGTCTCATTTTCGATTCGCTTTTGTACATGGCTCGACCGCTCTAGACAGCATTCGCCATCCTGGACCCTTGTGTTCCTTTACGCCTTTCTCGTTGAACTCCTTCGACCATCGCCCAATTCGAGCCTTTCGTTTTCCTTTCCTGTGTCCTTGACATCACTTTCGCATTCATCCTAGCGTTTCCTTTCTCTTTCTTCCGTTTCCTTTAATCCAAGTCAGATCTGTATAATCTATCATTTGCATTTGTTAGAACAGGTACGGCCATCCGATTTCCTTTCTAGGGGGCGCGAGAACATGGTTATGGTGAAGAAAACATGGATCATGGATCGGCCAATCTTCGTCCTGCATTTCTTTTTCTGTGCGATCTTAGCTGACGGCCGTGTGGTACAGGACCTCTGTTTTCTTCCTTTCTCCTCCCTCGAGTTACTCCTGACCCTATACCTACCTCCATCTGTGCCCTGCGGACGATAGCGAGCTCACCCCGCTGGCATCGCATCCTTCAGACGTCGTTACGCGTCAAACCCCTTTCCATCCGGTTATTGGAGGAGAACACCATGGCAGCGTTGGTACAGACAATCCCGCAACAAAGTGGCACGGTTACTGTGCTTCAGACTCGTCCCTCTTCTTCCTCGGGCGCCTTTACCCCCTCGCAGTCATCACAACAGCAAAACTCTCGAAATTCAACCATGTCTTGGAATTCATACAATACAGTCAGTGGGTCGGGAAGTTACAGGGTGGGCCACCAGGTCGTGGCACCCTATGCTTTTACCAGCACTCCCAACCTCTCCAATTCGACCAACATGTCAAATCGTCAGTCATGGTCCCCTCACTTGAGGCCGGAGCATCGAACATCCTCTGCTCCGTCAGCTCCTCAACTGTCTCCAAGTCCTGCATATGCCGGAGTCAACTCGCGTTTTGCCAATCATCCTGCAGCTGGTTCTGTATCAACATCCTCTTCCAATTCTTCCGTTCAATCTTACATTTCCAAAGACGACACCGCCATCCCGTCGAGACAGCCGCGTGGTGGTGAACTCCCTCTCCGTCCTTTATCCACCATCAACCTCCCTTCTCCTCCCTCTCCTAACTTTATGAATATTTCATCTCCGACTGTTACCCGCCCGTCGCCTGATCGTTATCGTCGCGGTACTCGTCGACCCGATGGTGCCGGGGCTTCGCAGCCCGCCGTTACACCAGCCAACGCACCCGTATCTGGCCGTCTTCCGCAGACGACGGACGACCACCTTTCACAATCGAGCACTGCGTCAGGATCTAAGGGTCCAGCACAAGACACGTCCCGTAAACCCGGTCACAACCGGGTGCCCAGTGCCGATGATTCGTCGCGGACAGAAAAACAACCGGAGCTGGCGAAGAGATACAGGCGACGAAGCTGGGGCAATATGGATAATGCTGGTCTCATTAATCTACAACTTCATCTGCCCTCGTCGTCACCAATTCCGACAACAGGCGGCCACGATTATTTCGATCCAAGCCATCGGCCAAATTCGGCGCAGTCCAACAGAGACGCTTCGGGAAGCAACCATTCCCCCAATTCCTCAACCTCTTCGGTAAGAGTGAAATGACAGTGTCCGCATTATATATCATCAGTTGGCTAATATTGACCAGGTTCGTGATACGGGACATACGGAATTCGCTGCGGCGTCGTCTAACAAAGTGGTTGCTAAACCGGAAGACACCAAACGAGCTACAAAACCCTCGCCATTGTCGCAACCTGTTACTCAAGATGCCACCCCTGGGAATGCAACAACAACAAAACCGGAGTCTAAAGAGAAACGGGTTCCAACCGAGAGTATTGCGACGCAACGACTGGCTGAAATTACAAACAATGATTTCAAGAGACCTGGTAAATCTCGGCTGAGAAGGGCTTTCTCTTTCGGAAGCGCATCGGAACTTCTCAAGGCCTCTGCTGCTCAGAGTAGCGCAAACAAGAGGGAGGCGATTGCTGCAGAGAAAGCTCGGAGAGAACTGCTCAAGCAGGAACTGGGCCCCGAGCAGGCGGCTATTGCTGAACAACAAGAAGCCAGTGGCCTGGGCGAAAGTATCTACTCCCACCACCAAGGCCGCTTCTTTAACAGTTCTACAGACAATTTGTCTGTGTCTTCTACAGCATCATCCGCTTCAATCATGCTCCGGAAGATGGGTAAGGGGATGAAACGGTCGACGAGGTCCCTCGTTGGGTTATTCCGCCCCAAGTCAATTGTGAGCACGGCATCCAATGATGGCGTTATCGTCGAACCGATGGCACCTCAGTTATCCGTTGTCAACGTCGAAGCGGAACGGAAAGGCGTAGCTGTGAATCCGGACCCGCAAGATGTTCCTCGTGGCGGGACCGTGTTTCCCAAGGTGGAACCTAAGTCCCAAAGTCCATCGGCTGCGGAAGATAGCGTTACAGATAATTCTCAAATGCGTAAGAGCATTGTGGGAGGTGATAGGGAGCGGGCAGAGGTTCTAGCTGCAGTAAGGAAGGGTATCCTCAAAAGTGGGTTTTCTTTTCCACGCTCTCCGCCGAGGTAGGCTCTCGTTGGCTAACATTTACGATCAGAAACCTCCGAAGCAGCAAATTCCACACCGAATAAGCAGGCCGAGCGTCATTTGACTACGAACAGGAACGATTCACCTCACTCTAGCGCTCCCAGTACTCCGGAGGACCAAACACGGTCGGACAACCGACGTTCTGACGCAGTGCGGATCGCTGGTGAGGATGATTTCCTACCAGAAGGGCGGTTCCTTGATTCCAAGGGAGCTTCCATTACACCGGCGGCTCCTAAAAGTCTCGTATTCAGTCCCCGCATCCAATTCCATGATACATGGCCGAGCGGCGAGTATGATCGTCGTGGGGACATCGCCACCTGCAACCGACTGACCCCTCTCCTTGCCCAACAAATCAAAGAGGAGCTGAACAATTTCAAGATGGTGAGTCGAGCTCGAGCCCTCCAGATGGTTTCTTGATTAGCAAATGTTAACGTAGCTGCAGGAGATGGAAGTTCACGAGACCTCGAAGATTTATACCCACTTCCTCTAATCCGCTGCATTCCGAACGGCGTTATTCTTATTCTTTTTCTTTTTTCTTTTCCCCCTCTGCCCATCCTGCATGACGTTTGTGTCACTACTCTCTGGGCGGCTGTTGGATCTATGAATGGCGTGGCTATCCCACATTGGTGTGTTGACTCGTAGACCTGCTTTTCTTAGAGCAACATTTGGTTTGCGTCCTCAGTTCTTCTACCCGTGGACTTCGAAAACGCCCTTTTGACCCTTGTTGCCGACTTTGCGAATCCCGGCCATTCACTTGTGTGTCTGCTATGTTCTCGGTGTTACGGCGCTAGCAGCTTGGTTTCTTTTGCGTTTGAAATCTGTGGATTTTACATTGAAGAATGGATTGAAAATTGGAGCTGTGCATACTTTGTTTTTCTTTTTGACTGTTTGTGATCATCCGGCTCCGATCTACTTTGCCTTTCAACCTTTGAGCTTCGATCTGTGCTGTTTATTTCTCTCCGAGCTCAATTATGTTTACGGATTCTTTTAATCTCTTCCGCCTGCGTTTCATCGCAGTTGAGTTGCATCAGCCATCCAGTCTCTTATTTTGTGCTTTTGCAAGCGTGAAAAGGGCCATATCCCCTTGGTTGTTCATCACCGAGTCTTGGTATTCAATCTTTTCCAGCGCTTCTCGTTTTCTCATGCATGGCACGTCTTTTGTACAGCTTTCAGGGACTGGTCTATCATCATACTTGGCCTACTCTATTGTTTATTGACTGGGTAGTAAAATGCAGCATCTCATGGCCCCACTCAGGGCGGTAATGATCCTCGAGGGTTTCTTTCCATGACACTAGAGTCATTTTCCGTATAAGAAGAGTATCGTCCATCGACCAAGTTGTCCCATACATAGAATACTTTCCTACCTGGAGCGTCGAGTTGTATCACTAAGGATGATGTTAATCTTGCATTAGGAACAGAACCTTGTGAAGTAGAAACCTATGTTTGAGAAAGGACTGCTCCGTACTTTGATCAAACGCAGAGCCGCCGAGGTATAGCATATTCTGGAATTGCCCATCTTCGAGGCTATAAGTCACTAGTGTCTTTAAATCGTCTAATAATATATGGGCCTATGGCACTATCGTTAAGCTAGCGGCCGACTACCTGTAGCCTAAGACAAAATAGTATCAGCAACAAGGTTAGTCTCTTCTTGATCTCTGGCCTGGAAGTGGCCATTTGGCGATAACGGTAGTTCGAGGAGGGTCATTCGGCTTAAACAGGGGCGTCAAAAGTACGGACTACTTAGAATCTTACGGTTTTGTGGAGTACGTACGATTCCCATGAATCAGCTACGGCCTGTTTATCTAAAAGGGAAGTGAGATACGACTCAGGTGGCCTAACTGGGATGATCTCGCTTCTTCAACTTGGCTTGGATGGGTCTTTAAGAATTTTCTAGAAAAGCAAATGTCGAGGGTTAGGGCATCCGCTCATATGGTATGGTTCTGTTGATAGTGGCTGAGTATGGGCATGCATCTTGATCTATACATTTCCTTCTTTCCATTTTCTTTTGAGGGCTATTTTCTCTTTTCATCTGATCCGTGTTATGTGATTGTTGAAACAAAACTCATAGGTCTGGTTGTTCTCGCGAATCTCTTGGTTTCGTTCTACATGCTTTTGTTTGATGCTTTCGTAGTCAACTGCTGTGGTACATCTGTAGAAGTTGGGCTACAGTCAAAGACCTACCCTCGTAGAGCTTGTATAGATGCTTAGATGCTGCTCAGGTACTTGATAATGATATTGTGACTCTCAGGAGCTTACATTACCTGGAGTAAATCTAGAGTTTACCTTAACAAACGAACAGCTCAAGCCCTACATTCCTTCCAATATCGAATAGACCACAAACCGAGTGTCACACAAGCTCACTAACATTCTATCATTGCATATGAGACAGTCATCAACCCAATGTCACATGTGCTGTACCTGCATCAAGTTCACTTAACCCTTATAGATGCAGTAGTAGGTACTTGGGAATCCCCATGACATTGAAACCGCCATACTTCCCCGACAATTATAAAAACCAACCTAGCAGATCTTTCCATCCCACTCCCTGCCGAATTAGAACTGGAACTACAAGACCAATAAAGCTAGTAGCCGAGCAAAACTTCCGACACAATCCCAAACATCACATTGAAGGTTTTTCTCGGTTGAATTCTCAACTCTAACTCGGGTAGGGATCCTCTAATTCGGGCCGGGGGTGTTGTCTTGGCCCGAGTACAACTACATACTACATACTTTTCTAAGTGTTAACATATCCATGAACTGGGCTTGTTGATGTCGACAAAAGAACACTAATAGCATACCCTGTGTGAGTCCTTTCTCCTCCGGAGTACACACAAGTCTATGTACAGACCGAACCACCGAAGAAACTCAATAGAAAAACAACCCCGGATAAAGAAAATAAAAAGAAAATAAAATAAAAAACCCGCCACCAGCGCCCGAGAAAACGGGAAAAAAGGGAGAACAAAAAACTCTTCCTTCTCCCTTCCGTGCATTAGTCTACTTAGTTTCCTCTCGGTAGAATTCTCGTGGTCAGACAATTATCTTTTTGCAGAAAAATTGCCGATGGTAGGCTTAAGTAAAAGGTTACGGGTTAGGGTTTAGCGTTTCAACCCCCACGCTCTCGTGGCCCACGTTACCTTGAGGTAGCATCCAGGTCCCAGTGCCCCCACCCCACTTTTGCGGTTTGAATCCCGGTGTTGAGCTGGGAATGTCTATTTGTTGGGTTTGGGGAATGTGCTTGGGTCTGGTTTGGGGTATGTAGTCGAGGGAGTTTTTGGTGTGGCGTTCGGTTGTTTAATCTTCTGGTTGTGTTTGGGTGTGAGGGGGTTGATTGGTAGATTTGTTGTAGTTTGTATACGGAGTAAAGTATCTTGAGTTTAGTGCGAGTGACGTATGTGTGTGTTTTTTTTTTTTTTTGATATATTTTTTGGGTCTTGTTTATGTTGAAGTGGTGAAGAAGTAAGCTGGGATTGAGGTAATAGTTCAGCTTGGGGGATTGGGGTTAGGGTTTGTATTTGATGGAAGATGATTCCGCGTCTCTGGGATTGGAATGTCCGTGGTACGGAGTAGATCTACTTCATTATCTGGTACTGGCCTTCTAGTAGACGGGAACTCTTATCTCTTTCCTTAGACTCACTCCTGCCAGAGAATCTACATAGGTTATACTTCTACGAGTTTGACTATAACCTTCCTTGGTAGCTTATAAAGGAGTGAAAAGAACAAACAAGGAAGAAAATAGAAATAGTTGTTGTATCAAGTACATCATGAAATTATTGTTTGTTGACAGGGTCCGCATTAAAATCCGCCGTGCAGTGCACGATCGAATCCCCAGCCTGACTGAAGGGGTTTCCGCACTGGAAGTGGTCGGACTTGTCCATATTGCACTGGCCGACCTTCTTGTCGTCCGTGGTGAATAAACCGTAGTCACGGTTCTTGTAGATGGCTGTACCATGATATCAGCAGCAGTTCAATCCAATCTACAGAAATCATCCAATATGAAGGGGGGTAAGAAGGATTCAGGTGACATACTGTAGTGCCCCACCTCAAGATTAAACTCGAGCTCCTCGAAATCAGGGCAGCCCTTGCAGCGCACACCTTGCCTACCACCGCTCACATCGCTGAGCGAAGATATGAAGATGGCCTTGTTATTGACGTCATTGCAGTCGGGGGGCGCGTTAAGGAAGAAGAATCCGTCGGAATTGACGGGGGCCATGCCATCGTTGACTGAACCACTCTTGATAGAGTAGATGTAGAAGTCTGCTGCTGCGAGGGGGGCGAGGGCCGCAGCGGCGAGAGTGGCGATGGCGAACTTCATGGTGAATGTTTGGAGAGAGAAGGATTCTTGGGTATAAAGTAGAAGAGTGATTGTATACTTGATTGATCGTGTTCCTGGAGTATACGGAGGGATTTCACGCAGGATTTATAGATCCAGAAGAGCTGGTCATGTCAACCTTGCGTCTGCCCATCCCGTCACTCAATTCCTTCGCCAAGGTGTGTATATTGAGATAAACATGGTTTGCTGCTTGAAGATACTGGAATAGGAATGACGGAGAAGGGGCCAAAATATGGATACATGCTGTATTTGAGATATTAAGAAGGAGTTGCGGGAACTCTCACGATTATACCTGGGGTACTGCTGCAGGGATCTACTAGCTTGAGCTGTAGGTTCAGATAGACTTCGGAGAGGAGCCTTAGGGTCTACACGCGCGATTACGACAGTGGCTGCTGCTATAGATAACCATAGGAGATGTATGAGCATGCTCTGATGTATGTACATGGCTGACCAATACCCATTGTTTATGATGTTCTGGGGGACTTTGATCTTGGATAGAATCCGTTTTGGTATGAGCATGATAAAATGACCAACGGCCATATCAATCTCTTTTTGGTACCGGTGGGTCTAAAACCCAGCTTTGGCAAATAGCAACGCTGTTGCCAAGTAAATGTGGGTAGAGGAATGATTAAATACGATGATGTACATCTGAGTATACAAAAAGGGGTCCAGTGAGAAATTGACCCAAAATTCTTCATCGTCTGATAGGATGAGACTACTTTTGAGCATACTATGTAGATACAATTACTGTTGAAAAGCCTCTCCTTCGTCCAGTTGTACAAAGAGAAGAGCATTCCAGCGGTTTGACCCGCTCAATACTCAATACCCCATGTGGCGAGTGTGATGCTTGGCAGCACTTTGGGCGCCGAAAATTTTGGTTAACATTCCATGGGTCACCCGAAAAGTCAATCAAGTGTCGTGTCTCAGGATTTTGTTTCACGCAGTAAACAATACTGATCGCTGTTTATACACGACACCTCGTTTTCCTACGCTGTAATGCTCCAGAAAGAATGAAGCCCTATCTTATGATATTGGGGGATGAGGCTTGATACGGGATTTGGTTTCGGCCCCAGAGGATGCTGAAGACTAACCAGTATCGGAATCGGAATGGGAGATTCCTCCCTCCAAACCGAATTTCATCTCGTCATATCATGGAGATACATTCTGTCAACACCCTCTAGGAGAAACCGATGTGTATTTAGAGGGGAAGATGTGACAGCGTAGGAGAAATCTCAAAGGCAGCACGTGAGGGGTTCTCAATTCCGAGTGCAACACGTGCCGAGGCAACCCGATCCGTGCCGATCTACAAGCCCTAATTCATCTGGAGTAGATTCGGACCACCACAAAAATGACGTACGAGGACTGCCTCTTCCCCTCAAGAAGGATCCCGAGCTCTTAGTATCAGCCTTTATAGCTTTTCCGTTAACGCGGAGTAGTGTATTGCCACACCGACAATTTGGAGTTCTTTGGCGTCCTACCAGACCAGATATGGACGGGTAGCCGAGAAGCTGGGACCGGAAGCGTCCTTTGGGTCCCGGCCCACGGGGAACGTCCGTACGCGGGGGTCATATGAGTTAGTAATACATTTACTTTTGCAAAAGCTTGGTCAGAATCTTGTCGGAGCCGAGATGTTGCTTGTGGTACTTTGTAGAATCCAAAGAGCAAGGTGCTTGTAACAACCGTCTTTCCCGGGGTGAAGTTAAGCTTTAATTCCCCGGTTTGTCAGACATGAACACTTCAAAGAGGTTTCTACTCGACTCCTAGATCTGTTATCATTTGGGATCAAAAGTAAAGTGCCGAAAGCGATATCCCGCAACAGAGGGAACCCCCACGGAAGGACCGAGACTCCCCCCACGAAAATTTTGTCACGAGAAGAAGAGAAAAAAAAAAAAGAAGTGTGACCCCCACGCTTCACTCTCCACAATGACACTCGCTCGGTTCGTTTCTGCTTTCTGATTCCACGAAGGCTTTTCCCCGGTCTCCAGACTTCTATCTTTTTACTTTGGTCTTCCCCAGTCTTTTTCCCCGCCTTGTCCTTCCCCATTGGTCTCAACCATACCTAATTGACTCGGTCCCCATTTGCCTAAAATCCATCCCGACATGGGAATATGTCGGGAAGCCCAACGGGTGCGGTTCCGCGGGTCGTCATAGTTTTTTTTTCTTTCCTACACAAAAAGGTCCCTGATCCCGAGTCTGGATGCATGATCTTGGACGGTATTCTCCTCTCTCCTCCCTTCCTTCCTCCTTACTTCCTTAACTCCTCTTCCTTCTTCCTATCTCCTTCCTCTCCCCTTCCTCCTTTTCTCCTTTCCCCCCTCTTCTTCCTGCTGGATTTCGGAGTAGTGAACCCAACACCGGCAAGCCGAAAGCTCCTAATGTGCTGGGCATGATTTAGTTGGAAAAAGTCAAATACTTCACATCTCCCATACCCCACGGGGTCTTTCTATTGTCAGAGACGACTTGAGAAACCGACAATCCCCAACCACCACAAGCCATGGCGGACATCTCCAAGTCCGGCTCTGATGCCGCCCACCTTGAGGAAAGGCCCATAACCGCCGCAGCGAACCCGGCGCTGGCCGACCCGGCAACGCGCGCGCGGGTAGAGAAGAGCCTGAAACGCAAACTCGATGCTCGCTGCGGCTTCTTCGTTATCATTTATATCATGAACTACCTGGATCGGAACAACATGGCCGCTGCTCGTCTTAAGGGACTCCAGGATGACCTCAAGTTGGATAACAGTCAATACGCGACCTGCCTTAGTATTCTTTATGTCGGCTATATTCTGATGCAGGTCCCTTCCAACATTTTCATCAACAGAATCTCGCGGCCCTCTCTTTACATCGGAGCCGTTATGCTTGTCTGGGGTCTTATCTCGACCTTGTCAGGCGTCGCCACCAACTTTGCGGGAATGGTTTGCATCCGTTTTTTCCTGGGTTTTGTTGAAGCTGCTTTCCTCCCGGGAGCTCTCATGATCCTGTCGAAATGGTACACTCGTCGTGAGCTCACAACGAGAAATGCTATCCTTTTCTGTGGAAATCTTATCTCGAATGCATTCTCTGCACTTGTTGGAGCTGGTGTCCTCTCCAACATGCAGGGCACTCTTGGTCACGCTGCCTGGCGTTGGCTCTTCTGGAGTAAGCTTCCTTGACTCTCCCCGATATCACACAGATGACTGACACGTTTCCAGTCGAGGGTGCCGCCACAATGTTCATTGCCATTTGCGCAGCAATCATTCTTCCTGATTTGCCGAACAACACACGTGGTTTTACCAAGGAGGAGCTTGACCTAGCTCAGCTACGAATGGCCGAGGATGTCGGCGAGGCTGATGTTGACTCTGAGGACCAAGGCCCGTGGGATGGCTTCTTCATGGCCATCAAGGATATCAAGATCTATATCATGATGATTACCTTTACTGCTTACGTGGTCGGCCTCTCATTCAACGCCTTCTTCGTAAGCTCTCCCTGTTTTCTCACTTCTTTGCGTGCCTATTCTAACTTGAGAATCTTAGCCTACCCTTACTGGAACCCTCGGATTCGGTTACGTGCCTACCCTGCTTATGAGCGCCCCGCCATGGGTGTTCTCCTGTTTGTTCTCTCTGGTCGTTGCCTGGAGCTCCGATCGGTACCAAGAGAAGGTTTGTCTTCCCCTGCGACAGGCCCACTACTCATCAATCGCGCCCTCTAACTGATTTCTCTAGTTCTGGCACATTGTCGGCCCTATTCTCGTCGGCTTGGTCGGTTTCATCATCAGCATGTGTACTCTGAATGTCGCGGCTCGATACGTCGCTCTCTTCCTTCAAGCCGCTTCCTACGCTGGGTAA